TGAAGACTAGACTCGGCCCAAGTGATGAATATGACAAGGGTTTCCTGCACAGCAAACACACGTAAACTGGCCTCGAAGGTAGTGCCGAGGAAGGCCCCTCCGATGTCGAAGTCAGTATAGTGTTTCTAGAGAGAGCAAGCTATGCAAGAGAATTAATCGCTTGAGGCTTGAAGAGAATGAATTGAAAGAGAGAGAAAAGTGAAGACTTTTATACCTTGCTTTAATAGAATAAGTGGGCCTTGAGGTCAGATGGGTTTGCCATATTGACTAGGCCTTTGACTGACTTGACATGACTTGAGAGAGGGTTGAACCTCCTTTGGGCTTATAATTGAATCATTTGCAGACCGGCCCAATTAGAGTAAATTGGACCCAAACAACTTGCCCTCAGACCCGGTTCGGAAATTTGACGAATAGGGTTTTGACTTGCAAAATGGAGGAAAACAAATGATTAAATTGTCATTTGATTTAATGGGTCTCAACTTTCAAGTCATCCTATTGCCCAATGCCATCTTTTTTTCTTACCACCTACAAGAACAAAATCCATCAACTCCATTTCAAACTGGACTTCGAAGTAACAATTGATACATAAGAACCCAAGTTTGGATAATTGATTTAAGTTTGTTATAATTGATATTTACAAATCATAACTAAATTCCTATGATTACACACCAACTTTCTTTATCAAATCGATACTTCTTACGGGTATGTGATTACCAACATAATATATACGGAGTACTGATTAAGAATCAAATGTAATTTAAGCTATTATTACATGCATTGATTCAATCTACAAGTATAATGTTTTCTATAAGATGAGTTAACTATTTTGATAGTGACCGTAATGTTGTACGCCAAGTCGCCAACTGTTTTCCTAGGTTTACCATTTGATTTGTGGGCCCATAAAAACACAAAATTTATCCCAAAAAGACACAAATTTTATCCCAAAAATAAAAAATGTGGGAAGAAAACGAACATCAAAGAGTAACATACCCCACGCAGTGGTTAAGTTTTTATATTAATCGGGAGAATAAGAATGAACCAATGAATATACAACCTACCAAACTTTAGTTATACTCACAATTTTTCATAATTCTGTCTTTTGAATTTTTTCCCTCTTTTTTATTTTTCAAAATTTTTGAAATATGGTTTGTTGGACCCACTATTAAAATAAGAGTGAGTAATTTGCAAATTCACTAGTGGTAGTAGTGTACTTGTGATCATCTTTTGCTGGGTCATGGAAGTGGAGGTTGAATGAATCTTCAATTCATCAAATTGCTTTAATCTAATTTTTTGAGTGAGTGGGATTTTGCAAGACAAACTTGGGTAGCAAGTGATTCTAAATTTCAAACGGTGAAATGGGGTCCGAGGAAATTATGCAAAAGGATTTGGATTCTTGTTTTTCAAGGGATTACTTTCTTCATTATGATTGTCCTTATCATGTGGTTTAACTTAAAGGTAATGCATTTTGAAGAAGATACTATGAGATCTTAGGATTATAATTTTATTTCTCTTTTTGTATTTTTTTTCCCATTTGATCTTATATTGACCGAAAATACATGCATACACATATTGATTAGTTGTAAGTTTGTAACATAGATTAGAAAAACCTCATAATCAAGACATACAACAGTAGTGCTATGTACAGGTAAATCTAGTAATCCGTAGTATACGATATGAGTATAAGGAGTATCTGTCATTTTTTATCTTTTGGTGTTTGGAGAGCCATAAGGGCGAGTAATAATCGACCTCAGGATCTCTTGAAACCGGGAAGGAATCTCTAACCACTTGACATATCCCTCACCCTCAAGTAATATCTACCATGGTTCTTGAGATATTTGTAGATCCTTTAAAAAGATTGATGCGGCGTGGTGACAGAAATCTTCGGGTGTATTATTTCATCTAAAAAAAGTTTCAAGTCTAATAATTTTAGATAAGCTCTAATCAAATTCAATTAATTCAGATGAGATCTAATAAGCTAGTTGTATTGAAAATTTGTAATCATGTCTAATCAATCCAAATCGATTTCAATCAAATCAATCAATTTGAATAAGGTGCAAAGAACTAATGCACCTTAGCTCAATAGTTCATGATTTGAGTAAAATGTAATCTTAGTTTCACAAAGTATAATTATGTTATGTTTGTGCAACAGAATCTTCCATCATCAATTCATCACTCTAATACATACAAAATCTTGCATTAACTTCGTGTACTTCTTGATAGCACATTACTGAATACTGACACTAGTGTGAAGGATAAGGCAACTATCCATGTCATATCTATGTTAATTATGAGTTTATGACACATACTTGTAAATGATTACCTATAGTCGTCCTAAGTGCTTCACTATCTAAGCATGTAGCAATAATGTAGGTACAAGGTTAGACCATGCATCTCTTTACCTTTGTGTACTTGCAAATTCTGTTCAACTCACATAAGAATTAAATTTTCTGTAAGAAATTTCATTATTTTAGGAGCTTTTCAAATTTCCAATATCCACTCTAAGAATTTACCTATAGTACGGTAACATTTTTTGTTATACGAAGATTTTACACTACTGTAATAAGTACGAAGTATTTGAATTGTAGACGTTACAACACTACTTATATTTAATTTTATAAATAGACTTATTCCACGATTGAAGTTTATGCAAAGTTATACTTATACATGTTTCATCTTGTGAATTTTTTCTTCAAATGTTATACAATGTGGGAGACATGACGAAAACATTGGTTCAAATGTTCAATTGACGATTGAGTGCTTTGCAACTCACAGATACGAGTATGTGGGTGTATATTATCTTGACATACTATTCTTTCTAATCAAAAAATCATTCACTGTCAGAAATAACCTTATTATTCGATCCTATCTTGCTAGTAATCTTACTATCTAATTCCAAGAACATTAAATCCCCATGTACAAAAGCCACTAAACCATCTCTGTCAATCAAACACGGACCAACAAGATCTAAATATTCTCATTTCATTCTATATCCGTAGACAATGCGAAATGAAGTTACGAGTAACAGCTAATAGCTCCGAAGAGGGCTCAAGTGACAAGAATAAGCACAAAGTATAATCAGAAAAATTCTACCAATTCAAAGAACTTGATATTAATAGTCATATTACTAAAATCAACAAGATTATATATATGTTGTAGTAGTGTATTCGATTTGCATGTGTAGGTGTTTACATTGAATATGGACCAACGTAACCAAGATATAAAATTTATGTGGGCGATCCAATAAAATTAAAAGTAATTGTATATGCAAATGAAGCATAAATTGTAGGATAAAATATCATTAGAGGCAGTGTGATGCCATGCAAGCATGTCTATACCTTTCACCAACAAGATGTTGTGTTACTTGTGTACATCCACATCATTAAATCATGGGTTCCCTGTTTTTTTCCCCACTTTTATGATTTGCATTATGCTGAATAATATAGTCTATTATTTATGGCAGACATTACACATAACTTATAAATATATGGCGAAGTGTACGTGTGAATCGCCCCCTTTGTATTTTTCTTACCTAACTCTTAGGTACTTGTATTAAGCAACTTCCTAACATAGTGGCTATTAAATATTTTTCCCGATCAAACTAGAAACAAATTTTATTGCTTTTGCCGGCTTTAAACAAATTATGTAATTAAGTGGAATATACTTGTATAATTTAATTTTATAAGATAAAAAATAAGCTCAAAATACATGTGTGAAATTTTTCACTAATCAACTGGGTAATGGAATAATATATTTATTTTAAAAAAACTCCACAATACAATTGTGCACAAGTTGAAAGGGTATGATCTACAAATATACAATACATTAAAATAAATATAAAGCGAAGTTTAAGTAGGATTGACAGTTTATGACATGAACTAATTACCCAATTTGAAATTAAATCCAATTTGTATTGAACTCGAAAAATCCGAGTTGAAGCTTCATGGAATTTGTTATATACATCTTGGTGCACCGTACTCAACTAACCCAAGGTTAGTTTTTGCTTTTCATTTGATGATTAAATGAAAAACAATTATTAAAATTAGAACAAAATACTCATGGATGTACGGTGCATTCGGATGTATATAACAATTTCTCTAGGCTTCAAGGTGTGAAAGGATAAAAACAACTTTAACTTTATCAGTTATCAATACCAGCCTACAAGCAATTTCGTTGCTGTGAATTCAACTAACCACAAAATAATTAAGATATCTCTGAATTCTTATTGATCGAGAAATTCTGGATTCAAAGGTTAATATGTCATCCACTATTGCAACCATCTCCATTTTATTTTATACAGTTTACCTGCCACCCTTATACTTTTATAACATTATTGTCTTATTTGTGACATTTCTTTTGAGCAATTTTCTTACCAGCTAGAAAGTGATTCACTGATTTGTCGTACTTATTAGAGTATTAGTATCACATAGGACAAAAGCATATGAATAAAACTATTGTACAAAAGTTTGTCGTTGCTTGATTCTTGATTTTTTCAAGCTAATTTGGGATGTCAAAAATAAAGTCTTTTTTTATAATTCATGTTGATCAAAATCACTAAACAACATATCCTAAATAGAATATAGACTATAGAGAGGAGTTTATTATCAGGCCTAAACAACAAATTTGGTTTTAGTTTTTCTGTGATTATTGACAATATTCACACAAAAAGTAAAAATCAAAATTTTTAGCATAAAACACAAACTATCGATATCTAAAAGATAGGAGAACCTAAGGCACTTCACCTAATTTTTTTTTTTTTTTTTTTTTCCCGCATTTTGAGCCTTTTTCACTTGGATCTGGGGAAAAAAAAAGTTGTAGATGTTTAATGGCTATCTGTAGGACTTATGATGGTGAATCATATGCAAGGGTTTGATACTCCTACTAAAAAAACGAAGAAAGCAAGAGATGAAAGGAATACACAAAAGCATAGGAGCCAAGATCGAACTCCAGCAGCCTTCTTTTTTGCCCTTTTGATTTCAATCTCAAGGGTCATAGAGTTTCAGTAACGAAAACAACATTAACTTAATTTATATTAAGATACTTAAATTATGATGAATATATGTGAAGAGATTTACAAAAGAATTATTCAATCTAATGCACAACAGCACAAGTGATGATTTACAGATGGCAATTTAAGCTAATTTCCAAACCTGGGGATGGGTACATGTTGTGAAACTTATAACAGAGGATGAAATTGTACATGCGAAGGATCATATACACAGTTTACTGCACAAGTTTGTAAGTTGTCATGGATCTTCATTAGCATGACCTGAGATTAGCGGAAATGCCTCTTTGTTATATCTCTGATCAATTGAAATCTGTACCATAACAAGTTGTTAAACACCATTCTGTTTGAGCATCTGCGGAGAGCTAAAACTAACAATAAGAGCACAGTGAAGAGTCAATTTCGATGTCCTGATCAAGAAAGTCAGGAAATTACCAGTAGAAGATCCTCATCTGTACCAAAAGATTTGCGAGCTTCATCTAGGTGTTTCGAAGAGATTTTCTGATATTTCCTGCACAGTTCCAAGTTAATTAATCTCTTTTAGAAACGAAATAAGCCATTAAAAGAATGCTCCTAGCAAAGAATGAAAGCTAATAAGAAGAATAGTATAACACTCTTAACAGATTTTCTAGTATTACAGCCAAATGTACTTGAGCTAAAGGATGAGCATGATCCTTAAAGCAATATCTGATGTGAATGGATGAGCGTTGCATGATCTATGAGTTGACCAAAATAAAATGCATCTAACTCATACCGCCAAACCATCTAAATCACTAAATTCCTCTCATTTTCACAATTCAATCTGCCTATTGGTCTTCACTCTTCATGATATTAGACTGTAAAATGAGAATACAAAAGTCAAAAAGGATGCAGAACCTTGAGCTGGCAGGATCCCTGATTTCAAACTCATCTTTGTCAGCATCATACCCACAAATTACAACATAATGACCTGCAGAAAGCAGCAGATTAGTAATGACCACGTTAACATGTAAACCAATGGATTTTAGAATCTGTCAGCACATTTGAGCAACCCTTAGCTACTCTCACTTAGAACAGTAGATTTTAGGGAATCAAGAAGGTTAAAAAGATTTGATGAAGAAATTGGTAATCAGATTAAGGGAAAACTAGTATTATATGATTGTTATGATGATAGTCATGTGGAAATCACTGATTACAACCTATAGAGGTTGGTGCTCTGCCAAGAAACAATCTCTCTCTCTCTCTCTCTCTCTCTACTTCACACACTTTTATTTCACCCTGATTTAGACTTTTTACCAACCTACTTAACTATCTTCTTCTACAAGCTACAAAGAACATCATTATCATGCTACTACCTAAGGTGCCCATCCCCTTAATACTGATGCATAGCAAGTTCTAGTCCAGTATCTCATATACTAAGCACTCACGTTGATCTTGATAACTGATAAGAACTTTTTCACTCAATACAAATAAGAAAAAGCAAACTGGGTACAATTTGAAATGTACTACATGAAAAAGAAACTCCCTAGGACATATTTCTTAATATGTCCAACCGAAAAAATATTTTGAATCCCTAAATCATTCAATGATTTTGACACCATCCTTTCCTTTCCTGAATTGCTACAAACACAATTGGTCCCAAGCCATAAGTCTTTAATCTAGACATAAAGTTAATTAGCATATTTAGAAGGTATTAAATTCCAGCGCTGGAATTGATTTTTTTGGAAAAACAACTCCCAATATTCATACATAGAATTGGTTTCTTTCACCTTAATTCACATTATTTTATATTATTTCAGAAAAAATAAGTTCAGATAATTTCAGGTAAAACAAGTTCAGAAAAAATAAGATCAGGTAAGCTGAGCAGCATACTTGCTCAAATGACTAAAAATACCAGGATTTCTGGCTTCTATTACAAAATGGAGAAACGGCAACACCAGTTCTCACCTGTATAGCCCAGATTGCTTCCACATAATTCAGAGATATGGTAGTCCTCCAGCCATGACCGACTGTAATAAATGACATCGCTTAGAAAAAGGTCATTGCCAGATTTTGAAATTAGCAACAATAAAGAAAGATTCAGAACTACGGCTTTCTTCATTCCACCAAAGAAAAGCAAATTCCAGGAGAATAAGTTCAGACAAAGGCTACCCAAGTTTATTTCACAACCAAAAAAAAATCATGTTAAGTTAATTACTCCTTCCATTTCTAAAAGTTTTTCTTGTTTGGATGTGATTGTCTCACACAAAAAAAAAAGAAAAGAAAAGAAAAGAAATTTTAGAGACAGAGGGAGTAGTTCATATCAGTTTCCTTGCCTCTTTCACTGTTATTGGCTGTGTGTGTGTGTGTTGGGGGTGGGGGGGAGGTGGGGATAGGAGGAGGATAACTTGTCAGCTTGGTTCATTTGGGGTGTCAGGTGTGTCCTAAGTTGATTTTTAATTTTTTACGCTTAAATTAACTACTGCAACTACACCTATTTGGAGGGATAGTTGTTGTGCCTAAGATGGGCAAGATAGCAACAAACGCCATGATACTGAAGTTACTATATGATTTGAGGAAGATGCAAAGGGTACATCAGAGTTATAATCCCTGGATGAGTAAAAAGCAAAGCACGAAGATTTCACAACATAAGGTACGTTTCAAGAATATATGGATCAGGGAAAAGCTGAAATGGAAAGATTAAACAACACCATGGAAAGAGATATGACTGCATTGTCATCCTTGAGACAATTTAAAATTAATAGAATCAATGAAGCAGCACAAGAACCAAGTACTAACTATAGTTTGCACTGATCAACCAAAGCAATTGCTACGTATCTTCCCGACAAGATCAAGAGAGGTACTTCTTTTTGACTAAACGATCTGCACTGAAAGAGAAAGTAATGTTGATCAGAAATAATCAACATGATATTCAATTTAATGTAATGTCAAAGCTGCAGGAGAAAAATTCAAGTTTTAAAGCTTTTGTTTTACCTCTATACTGATTCCAGCCTTAAACGCTCTTTGAAATAACATATCTACTCGGACCAAATCATGTGGTAAGTGATCCTACAAAAAATTTAATCATCACTTGTAAATTTGTTATACATCAAGTGTAATGAAACAAAAAACTTTTCCATCATGGTAAAGGTGTAATAAGAACACTTAAAACACTATACAACAAAACTAAAGCCTTGGGCCCTTGACCCCAAAAGGATGGAGTTGGTTGCATGAATTTATCTCCAGTTGTCGTCCACGAGTATCCTCTTCCTCCATACACTTCTATCCTGCGCCAAATGCCCTTACAAGCCCATTTTCTTCATGTTAGTATTAACACCCTCCGTCCAAGTCATTTCAGGCCTCCTATGGCCTCTTTTAAAATCCATATTATACCAAGATTACCAACCCTCTACATTGCTTAACAGTGCATGTACCCGGTTGATGTAACACACGCCCAAACTACAGAAGGCATAAATTTTCATCAAACTAAAGGGAACGAGAAACTATGAAGCATAGATAACCAGAGGCAAACCCTAAATTATTTAGAGGGACTTAAAGAGTAGACGATAACTCCCGGTCACTATAAATAACAATTAAAACATGGCAACAGTAAGGTAAAAATTCAACAATATGTGTGTAGGCACGAAAATTTTGCTCGAAATTTGTGTAAACAATGTGTAAGGGAAATTCTTGTATGTGAAGACTAACCCTCTCTGCACGAAACCAAAAATCATACAAGCTCTTCCATTCATGACCAATGCTGAGAACTCTGTATCCACTGGAGGACAAGGCATTATAACTCAATAATCTCTATAGCTATTTTTTTATTTTATTTTATTTTTTTCACCGGCGACTAGTACACTAAACACATTAGCTTTCCTTCAAAAGATTATCCATAAGTATACTTACATTTAAGCTTTGTCTATATTTAGGCTACATATGAGGTAAAACACACACAAAAGTATATAAAAAAATCATCATTAGTAATGTATATTTATATCCTTATTAGCATGTATGTATTTCATCTGACACAATCGTTCACCTCAAACATTCAACTGAAGCAGGTCATTACCTTGACCTCAATAAACCCTATCAATTATTGGCCTTCTTTGATCATTGGAATTCGCTTACATGTGGTCAAAAAGGCTTCTTCAAAAAAACATTTGGTAATTGGATATTTGGTTGCCTTAAAAGACATTGTTTTTAGTCAAAAGCAATGGCTTTCAGCTGTTTTCTCCAAATGTGGATTATTTAACACAAACGCGTAACAATCAACAAATGATTTTACCCTATCTTTGTAAAACGATAATATAAAAACAGCCAATACAAAGGGTTCAAATGAGCCAAGTGAACTAGCCGACAACCAACTTATTGTCAAATAAGGCCATAAACTAACATGAGTTTAAACAGCCTTTTCACATGCTATAAAAGCCATGCCTGAATTTCGCCATAGCTGTTTATTATTTTATTCTTTTCTTAAAAAAAAAAAAAAATTAAAAACTGTAATCTGCTTGACCCTCTTCAATATTTACAAAAATATACCCTATCAAACATCCCCAATTAATAAGCCCAAGGATCTGTTAAGTATTCCCATTGTATACTGACATACCTCTCACCCTATTATTGTGACTTTCAGACTATCAGTGAAAATGTCAATCCAAAGACTAAGAAAAGCAACATTCTTTATGGAAAACTTTAATGGTTAGACACCAACTAAAAGATAAAAACACCAACATTAATTTTCCCAATCTTTGCAAGCTTACATCAACTAAAAGATAAAAACACCCAACATTAATTTTTCCGATCTTTGCAAGCTTACATCAACTAAAAGATAAAAACACCCAACATTAATTTTTCCAATCTTTGCATAATGAAGAGAAACATACTTCATGAGCTGCTTAGTTGTTCCTTCTAATTTAAATGTCAAATAACATACCACCCAGTTCAATACAACAAATGCTAGTAGGAATACTGAAAGTGTAGGGGAAAGATAAAAAGGGGTATATAGGACTGGAAGCTACCTTATAAAATGACTCCACAGAGAAGTTTGGATTTGCTCCTATAGTCACAGTGAAATAGGAAAAGATGACAGAAAATTTTTGCAGCAAATATGCCAGATCAACAGTCCATATGCTGCCAAATCAAAGATAATTATTAGAACGAAAACACAATATATATATATATAGAAAGAAATATACAAAAAATTTCCAATGAAAAGTTAACATGCCAGCAAAAGAGCTAAGTTTCTAGATACATTCAATCGACTATTTCAGAATTTAACAGCTGTAACAAAAGCCAATGTGCCCTTTTTAGTGAGGGACGTATGGTCGTATGCCAACATCACAGTCAATTATTTGTGAAAAAATTATCTAGAGGTAATAGGAGGAAAAATTAAAGAAACCAAGTCACGGACCATCCTAAATTCCTGTTGCCAGAACACATAGGGATATTCTTTTCACATAGAGGAAACTTCTACTACTTTTTTAGCATAAAGTTACTGCTAAAAAAAGCCTTATCTACCAGTGTGTATAACCCTGGTATAGATGTATGAATTGAGCCAAGGTAATTGTTCATAGTAAGTCTGCGAATACAAAGGTAAGGATATTGCCAAGGAAAACGTAACTGAAAAAATATCAAATGTATAAGGGTGACAGAAGTACAAACTAAAATAGCAGAAACGCAGAAGTGAAGGGAGAGGAAGATGAAAAACTGCCAGAGAGGGTTGAGAGAGGAGGCCATGAAGGTGATAGATACCAACAACATCAACTACAGCAGCCATCAAGGATGATTCTAGTTATTGATGGTGTCTGAAGAGACTCAGATGTATATGGATTTTATGCAACCTAAACCACCCTGAGTTATACTGCAATAAGGAGAAGTGACTGGTCCATGAAGAATTTATTTTCAGCTAAAATTTCTATTTTTTCTCTTCCATATGTTCAGAATTTTAGGGAAGACAAAATATGAACTCCCTCATTCTTGCTACTTCTTTATCTAAACATACAAGAGAAGAAAATCACTCTATCTGCAAAGCACAATTAGTACCCCTTGCAAGATATCATGTTAGTTAGCAACTGCTCCTATTACCCTCTAATCCCAACAGCACTGCCGCTATGAGATTCAGAGTTCATGTAAAGAAAATAAAAGTTCCCAAATATCTCACCAATCTGTATACTCATCATCTTGCATAAGTGCAAGACCCCTTGAAAAGTATTAGCTCTCCATAGATGGCACTTCATTCTTAACCAGACCCCACATCACTAAGCCCCATTTCACTGCTTCCAACTTTTGCAGATAGCTTAGAGCCATATACAACTCAATTGTCCAAAATCCTAAAGAAGGCCTCATCCAGCTAAGTGGGGAGCTACAAGGACTTGAAAATCAAGCAGCAAAAGTAATGGGCAGGATGGCCCCACTGAGGTTTATGTAGGCAACTGGATTCCTGAAGCAAAAGACATAGAAGATAATTGCACAATCTTCTGAAGTTTATGAATATAGAAAAATGGGTGAAAAGAAGAGAACAAAAAAGAATAGGCAGAAATCCAAAAGCTACCATCCATCCCCCAGAATTCAAGCTACAAAGTCATTACCCTGTAATCTTCCATTCTTATATATATTTTTTTTATATCAGCCAACGGAAGACCACGTCGAGGAGCAGACTGTGTAGATACTATCTTTAGATATCAATCCCTAATTCCCTAGGCATAAAGTTGCTAATTATTTCAAGAAAACACAATGCTTCACGTTAAGCTGTTTGCCTGCTTCAATGATGCATTGCATGCACCTCTATGGCTCTATCTACTTCTTGTTTGCGATTTCTCTCTGAACAAAGTAGTGTGTAGATGCCCATGCCAAGATAGCAATGAAACAATGCAATTGCTTAATGAAGAGCCTCTGCATGCAGGACAAGCCCTATCGTATATATATTCTGCAAAATTATTTGACTAGACTGAAAACAAGGGTCCACATATATATTTCAATATTTGAAACCTATATATACTGTTTCTAACTTAGAGGTCTGGACCCCATTGTCAAATGCCATCAAGGATCAAATGAAACTATAAGTAATCAAGCAGACCATATGGTATACTACAAATTTGTCAAGCATGAAGCAAACTATTAATGCTTAAGCTTCCACATTGCTATAAGTTTTTAAAAATTACAAAGTAAATAAGTACATCAACACACCTCCTTGTGCCGCAGAGCTTCTCCAATGTATGCAGGCTGCAGTTGTTGATCCCAATCGTTTGCAAAACCATCAGAACACAGGCAAGACCACAATCCCAATTGGATAACTGATTGACATGAGGAACCTATAAATATTGTAACAAAAGGCAGTGTGAGCATATTTGCACATAGAAATTGAATAGATTCACTTTACAAGCATATGAACTGATGCACCAGACATTAACATAAAGCACAATAATTGACTGGAATGGAAAGTCAACAAGAATTTGATGCTCCACCTCAATGAAACGTAAACGGGGCAATATCACATCGTGGTCTATTCCATCAGTTAATGAATAGAGGGAGCAGGAGCCAGATAAGCTACAATCTGAACTATTTTGTGTAACCTCTTCCAAGCTTAATAATTTATTTACAAATTCACACAATGGCCACATTGGAAAATGAACCGGAAAAATGACCACTTTAGAAGTTCAAATCACTGGTTTGGTTCAACAAAGTTCATCTCCTGGCCTGCAGTCCACCAACTGCAAGTCTGCAATAATAAAACAATAGCACAACAATGTCTATTAAAGGATCAAAAGCAAGAGCTGACCAAAACAAGCAGCTTCATAAAGTATATAAATATCAATGTACAGGCACAATACAAAATTGAAAACTAATCGAGAAAATTGAGTTGCTATTGGATTGACTCATCTCGACCACAGGAACTTAATGCATTAACTGAGCTTTTTTCTTGTATCAATTCAGTAAATATTGGAGAGACAGCACCACTCAGAAAGCATTTCTTAGAAGTGATGCTTGCACTCTGAAAGTCCAATACAACATGCCTCTCATCCATGCTTCCACACCAATCCTTTTATCATAAAACCATACCATTATATACCATCAACTGTCTGCTACCTCTTTTTTTTAGCCATAAGGAATAGAAAGACAATACGGATTTGAAGTATATGGATATGAAGGAGTTAGGAAGGATATGAAGTATATGGATTTGCATGAAAATGAGGAATTTGATAGTAAGGGATGGAGAAGGAAGATTTTCGTGGATGACTATACGGAATAATTACTTTTGATTCATTTAGCCGACCCCACTTATGGATTAAGGCTTTTATTGATTGATTGATTGTATAGAAAGATAATGCAGTAATTGTCCATGTAATTCAACATTAAAACATATTTCAGAATCGCAAGAGTACTTATCCAGCAAAATTCAGTTAGAGTGCAAAATAATACAACATTAGCTTTGAATGTTGAGTTACTGACCTAACCCTACCAAATTATCCCGAACAAAAAATAGTGCCAAAGAACAGACAAAATTTCTGGAACTTAAAATAATCCAAAATTCTTTCAGATTGCAGCAGTAATAAGTTAATAACTATGAACTAATTGATCAAAAACCCTAGATATTTAAAATTTTAAATAGCTCGAATTTCACAGAAATAAGCTAAATTACGCAACAAGTACAATAATCAATGACCTAATAAGATCGAATTAAAAAGCTAAAATGCTCATTAATTTAACTATAAATCGATACTTCGTAATAAATTCAGATTAAAAAACAACAGTAATTAAATCAAAAAACCTAAAAAATGGAACTGATTCAACTCAAATAATAAAATTTATGTACCTGAAATTCGAGAAATTAGGTTGAATTATAGTATTTGAATAAGAGCAGAAGTGATGAAATACGCTTCTCAAACAATTCTTCAATTATTAATTCTGGTAAAGTTTGAACATTCTTCCTGATACTAATAATGACTCTTCCCAATTTCTTGAATCTTCTCTCTTATAATCTGGGGTTTAATAATTGTATAATTGTCATTTTCCTTAAAATTATAACAGCAATTACACACAGAAAATCGCTTGCATTATTGTCGGTAATTTTGCACGAGATTTTCTATGTTTGTTTTTGTCTTATTTCGCTCTGATTTGTGGTAAAGCGGGAGGTAATTTAGGTGAAAAAAATTTAAAGTAGGTAGATCATAATTCATTAATGACGGATTTAATTCCCTCAACTACCTTTAATTACCCTTATTAAGCATATCACGGGTTCAAATTAAGATAAGCTCTGTAATCATGACGAGCTATTGTGTCTGTCTCGAGAAATTATATAATGATATTTAATAAGTACAGTGTACACGTTTCTTAAAAAAAAAAAAAAAAAAAGTACAGTGTACACATAGTAAAGTTGATATTTAAGGTTTTTTTTTTTTTTTTTTTTTTTTTTTTTTTTTTTTTTTTTTTGGTGAACATATTTAAGTTATTTATCTTGTGTTGTTTTCATGTTCGATATCTGGTTGTTAATTTGGGCCATACACCAATAATCTTTATTCCAAAAAAAATATGGAAGTAAAGTGTACAATATATAACGTGTCAATTTCGGATTTGTTTGTAAGGGTATATGTTAATATTGTAGTTTGTTTCTATTTACGACTAGATAAAAGGTATTGTGTGAACGTTTGAGTTATAAAGATTTTGTTTTAACTATTAGTTTTTAATGTAATATATTTTGATTTTAAAAATTTTGTTTAACATATTGTGAGCCATTTTTTTTTCTTTTTTAAGTCTTAAAATTCCAAAATAATATTACTCCATATATTGTTACATTTTGTAAAACTTAAAATGATTTAAAATATCATAACAATACTTTTGCTTTAAACATTTATTTCTTCATTGTGCCAACATTGTTATATGAAATTTTATAGCCAAGAATTTTTTTTTAATTTTTTTTTTTGGACACAAAGAACATAATTAAAAGTGAATAGTGTATGAAAAAGTACTAAAGTTAGACGTATAGTACCACATATAAATAAAAGGCTAATGTTTTGATACAAACTAAACTTGACCTACAATTACTAGAGAGATTGGAATTTGTTCATGGGAAAATTTAATGAGTGGATAAGCTTCTTATTAATCAACAATAATTGGGCAACTTTGTCTTTCATCCAAATAGTATTGGACAACTTACCTTCTAAAAAGGACGACTTAACTTTATTTCACTATCTTCCTCCAAACTCCAGTTCGTCTTCAAGGCCCCCCGCTTATACATGTGATCCGTACTATTATTTGAGTTATGGGCTTGAAATTCTCCAGCTTATTCAAAATTCATCGTTAATAGTCCATTATCAATTATTCAAATTTGGAGAAGTCCATTATCAAATGTTGATATGTCTATTAGTTTTATTTTTTATTTATTTTTTTATTTTTTTTCAAAACATGTCTATTAGATATGGACATATGCTTCAACAACTTGCTAAACTCACTCTTTCAATCCCAAAATTAAGAGGTTATAATCTATGATTTTGGACCAATTTTGGGAAATTTTTCCAAAGTCAAAGTAAATGCGTGGGTTGTCCCTTGAGATCATAAAAGTTAGTTTGGAATCATAAAAGACCTATCAATTGATGTATAAAGTCTTGAGAATGAATTTAATTCAATAGAAACTTTTGCGTGAGACCGGACTCACCGTGAGTTTAATATATCCGACAATAGTATTCTAATATATGATATTAATATTTTAATATCTGACATAATATTTGACATTAATAATCTAATATCTGACATTAATAATCTAATATTTAACATGAGAAATCTAATATATGACATTAATAATCTAATGTCAGATATTAGATTATTAATGTCAAATATTAGATCATTAATGTCAGTCTGTCAGATATTAGAATATTAAGTCATATATTAGAATATTATTGTCAGATATTGAATTATTATTGTCAGATATATTGGATTTACCGTGAGTACGACTCACCCAATTTTTTTCCATTAATTCAATTATGTAGCTATTTAGGAGTAATATTGTATTGATATTGAAGAATTGGATGAGGTAGTTGTTTATATCACCAACTTAGTTTACTCCAAATCTCCAATATGAGTATATATGAAGCCAACAATGATTAATATTGCCTTGATAAATCCAATGTAGCCAAATGATAATCGAATTAGTTGCGATTAGAAGCTATTAATCTAAAACCTAACTACTATTTAAATCTTCTTATCCACAAGTCAATCTCTAAGTGTAGCAAGTCTATCATATCTATACACTAATAATAATGCATAATGTTGGACGAGAATTTGAAATAAAGGACAAGAACAATAAGGTATATTATCAACTTTCTATTCTTACCCCATTTTCATTGCAGCTTTGGAGGCATGCAACAATTTGTCACTTACATCGAGTAGTGCACTAGCTTTTGATTTAAAGTTTGTGCCAAATTATCATCGGTTATGTTGATACCTTTAGTTTAAAATGGTTCATAAGGTAGTAAAAAGGTTGAATTTTGGGGTTGTGGCTTGTGAACTTTGAATAAAAAGTGAACTTTCACTTGATTCCCTCTTCAAAAATCAAAATGTCAATTGTTTGTGACTTTGTTGTAGGACGCAAAACGGCTACTCCGTATTATCCGTTCAAGAAACCTAAAACGGCTACCAAATTAGTTTAGCTCATGTCCCTCTAGTTTTTAAGTACTGAGTATTCTAGAGAAGTGCAATTTTATCTTTTTAGATTGACGTTTGATTTTATCATAAATTTTTAGTCTAAAACTTTAAAATTACAGAGTACACCACTTTTTACTTAAAAGAAAGCTTACAAAAAATTGTAACACTTTAACATTTGACATGCTTACTAATTGTACAGTACTAAAATATCCTTAATTTTAAAGGTTGGATAAAAGTGAAGTTGGATAATACGGAGTAATATGGAACAAATTAATGATATGGAGAAACCAAGAAACAGAGAGAGTGTCATTTCACAAAAATGAATTGTATACTACCTATACTACATTACATTAATCACATCAATATTCTTGTCAAAAAAAATAAAATAAAAATAAAAAAATTACATCAATATTGTATTTTTTATTATTTTTTCCATAAAAATAAAGTAATCAGCAACAGAAGTAAACAAATCAAATGAGCTACACACTAGTATTACATTAATTTACCCCATCAACCATTAGCATATTGTCTCCAAAAGTAAATGACAAGGTTGGGATAAATCAAGTAAATGACAAGCAATAGCTTGAATTTCAACATTAATTTAGAATTACGGCCGTTCATCTCCACCACTATCCATAGAGAGTGCTTTTTACCTTATCTTGTCTTAACTTCAAAATATGTGCCTTTTTCTTTACCATCCTATTTAAATTATACTTCCGAAAATGCCCTTGTTGGCTGCCTCCAAAGTAGAGCAGTGAGCTTTGTGACTACGTTTAAAGAAGAGCGTAGACTTAAATTCTCATAAATGCGGGATTCACAGGCAACTCTCTCTTTGGAGCCTTCATACTTCATAACTTGATAGGTTGACATTTTTCCATGAATATTGGTTTCAATTGACCAAACAGACTGAATCAATGACGAACCAAGATTTTCTTACATGCCCATGATTTTTTCAGCCTCGTATTTAATGCTACTTCACCTTGGTCAATCATGGAGTATCTAGCTAGTTGATTAACTTAGAGGTCAGGCAATCATGATTAAAGGTTACTAAAAGCAAGGTAAATTATTCCAAAAAATACGCATAGATTGATAGGCGTAAAGATGTTACGGAGTAGTTTGTAAGGTACTTGTATAGTTGTATAGATCAATTGTTTCTTGTTTGATCAATAAATGGTTATGGGTAATCTCACGTTCATTTTTGTTATTTCCTCATTGATGTTGTTAAATATATAATCCTAATAATGTATTGATTTAAGTTACGATGAAAAAGTGACTTAAGCAACTAACCTATGGAGTACCAACTTTGTTTTTTTACATAAATTAAAATGTAGAGTATTTATCAACCTATTAATTGAAATCCAATCAAATAATATATGGAGTAGTTTGTGGGTTACTTGTTTGAGTATACAATTGTCTGGTATGTTTAGTACAACATTAACTTATAGTTGGAGGGCATGAGTAATGGCTTGCTACATTACTTAGTTGCAAATTGTAATTATGGTCAAGCAAGCAATATATAGTGTAGTTATCAGCAAAGTGTTGACTCACTTGGTTAGGTTCTTATCTCAGATCCTATAGGTGTGGGGTTGGAATTCTATCAAGTGAAGGTACTTGGAGATAAGGATTCCCTTACCCTCCCCTTTTTATACTCTCAAGTGCCTGACACGCAAATAGTGGGCAAAAAAAAAAACCGTGAGAGTTATAAGGTTTGGTCTACCAAGAAAAACTAAAAAGGGTATATTGGTAAATCAAAGTCACGTTGGCAAAAAGCCAAGGACATGCATTGTCTACTCCGTAATTCCTATATAGCCGTTCAACAAAGTGCCATATCATATGTGACCATTTCAACCACTCCCCAATATTTTATTATTAATTTGAATTGTAGATAAAGGTGGGAAGTGAGAGAAAAATACAGTGAAAGAGTAAAGAGACGTTGGAAGATCTCAGCATCAACCCACCATTTTTAAGTTTTTGACAGTTACTACCTCCCAATCTCTCCTTCATCTTCAAATCAACTTTCACAATTACAAAAGAGGTTAAATAAAGAATCTTAATAAAGATCATATTTTTAGGCCCACTATTTTCTTCCTTTACAAAAATTCCCAGTTTAATAAAAAAGCTTCTCATACTATTCAATCTTCCCCCATTCAAAAACTCAAATGTTTGTTCAAGATTCGAACTTTATTTTCTGGGTTTCAAATTTTGCTTGAAAATCTTCCTTAATTTTGATCTGGGAATTCCAAAGATTGAAGCTTTTTGATGATGGAAGCCTCGTTTAGGAAAGATGATGGGTTAGACTTAACTGAGTCAATTGAGTCAGTCACTGAGTCAAGTGCTGAGCGTAGAAGAAGCAGGGAGAGTAGCTCTGATAGTAGACCAAGCTCTGAAGCAGTGACTAATTCAGGAAAGAAATCCTCTGTTTCGCCTACTCTGTTAGGTTGGCCGATTAAAAAAGCTGCAATTCCCAAATCCGCTATTTCAGGGTCACAAAAGCCCGTTTTAGCTGATGATTCTGAGCTTAAAAAGCATAATTTGAACCTCTCTGGTTAGTTTTGAAGAATTTAATTTTGCTTGTGCTTTAATTTGATTGGTTGTGTGATTTTCTTATACTTAATTTTGGGATAATGAATGTTGAATTTTAACTGTTTGTTGAAATGTTTCAGAGATGGAGATGATGAAAGAGAGGTTTGCAAAGCTATTACTTGGAGAAGATATGTCAGGAAGTGGAAAAGGGGTTTCCACTGCTTTAGCTGTTTCTAATGCCATTACTAATTTATGTGGTACTAACCTTAATTCTTAACCTTCTATTTTTAGATTCAGTGTTTGAATGGTTTGTTTTTAATGTCTAATATACTTTGAATTATGGGTTTATAGCTACAATATTCGGGCAATTATGGAGGCTAGAGCCGTTGCCGGTTGAGAAGAAATCGATGTGGCAAAGAGAGATGGAATGGCTGCTTTGTGTTGGTGATCACATTGTTGAGTTGATACCAACTTGGCAGACTTTTCCTGATGGAAAAAAATTAGAGGTACTCTATTACTTCAATTTTTCTTTTTTATTCTGCATTTCTCTATTAATTAATGTATTGAGCATAGGAATGTTTTTAGTCGATGAAACAGTGTCATAAGATGGAAAATATGCACATTGAAACTCCTTATTATAAGAAAATGTTACAATTCTGTGTAATTCTGTAGTATTTGATCTTTAAATCTGGAAGAACAAGGGACAGTGTGAGGATACATAAAATATATCTAATTGTGGACTAATTGGGTGTGTCCAAGTCTCATCACATGTCTTTAGGTGTTTAAGAACATAAATGGATACATTAAGATGGAATTTATCATTGCAATTTTTTTAGAACAGTCATCTTACATGTTACATATTTGCTGCAATGCTTTTCAGGTTATGACTTGCAGACCTCGGACAGATATATTCATAAATCTTCCTGCTCTTCGCAAGCTCGATAATATGCTCATTGTAAGATTTCAATTCTGCTTTACTTCATGGTAAATCAGTGGTTTCCAGCTTCCTATAGCTTAACTATTTTATGTTTTCGCGGTTATCAGGATATACTCAACAGTTTCTGCAAGACCGAGTTTTGGTATGTCGATCAAGGAATCGTAGCCTCAGATTGTGATGGCTCATCCTCTTTTCGAAAGACATTACACAGGCAAGAGGAGAAGTGGTGGCTACCAGTACCTCGGGTACCGGCTGGTGGCCTGCAGGAGAGTTCTAGGAAGCAGCTTGATCACAAGCGCGAATGCACCCACCAAATACTCAAAGCAGCCATGTCTATCAACAGCATGGTTTTAGCCGAAATGGATGTTCCTGAGTCCTACTTAGAAACCCTTCCAAAGGTCTATAATCTCATATTGTCTCATTGTTTATCAATCTAGGTTATTTTGACTATTATTTTGCTAAAATCTGATGTTTTGTTATATAATTTGATTTTATCAGAATGGAAGAGCTTGCCTAGGAGACATGATTTACCGGTACATCACGTCAGATCACTTCTCTCCCGAGTGCTTGCTTGATTGCCTTGACCTGTCATCTGAGCATGTTGCTCTTGAAATAGCAAATCGTGTGGAAGCCGCTATATATGTCTGGCGGCGAAGACACCATCCGAAACCTGTTAATAATCCCAACCGTACCACCACAAAATCGTCGTGGGGGATGGTCAGAGATCTGATGGTTGATGGAGGAGATAAGAGAGAGCTCCTCGCCGAAAGAGCTGAAAGGTTGCTGCTAAGCTTGAAGCAACGGTTCCCTGGCCTCACTCAAACTTCTCTAGACACCAGTAAAATTCAGTACAACAAGGTTAATTTCGAATTCCTTAATTTTTTTTTTTTCTTTTTGTTTTTTTACTTATGTACAAATTGAATTCATTTTTCTCCTGTTGGTTCTTAATTCAAATTCCTTGCTGCAGGATATAGGAAAATCCATTCTAGAAAGCTACTCGAGAGTTCTAGAGAGCTTGGCCTTTAACATTGTGGCGCGCATAGATGATCTATTATATGTTGATGACTTAACCAAACATACTGATAAGTTATCCTCAGCGCCTAATGTGAGTGTTATGGCTCACAAGAAGGTCTCCTTACCACATTCAGTGCCTCCCACGCGTACACCTTACGGGTCATCACTAACCACTCCAAGCTTCTCACCTGGCCCGTTAATTAGTCCAGCAAGAGGAGTAGACAGAACTCCTTTTGTCAACCGTGAGATTATTAGTAAGCCTTCCAAGCGCGGTATTGGGGTTAAGAGAGCACTCACTAACTACCTAGGTGGTGAGTTGAAGGCTAAGAACAGTGCAAACCAAATAGAAGGCCCTCCTGCTTCAACAAAGTCAAGCATTGGCTCAGGGTCACCTGCATCATCTCGCGATGATTCAGAGAACATTGATCCTCAGAGAGTATCGATAACCCATCAGAAGCCTAGCAGATTTCGATGAAATCTCCACAAAGGGTTACTCTTTTACTGACATATGAAGGATTTTTTGTTTCTTTGGATTGGTTTTAGGATACTTTACTAAGCATGTTTGTAGTTTTGTTGTTTATTGAATTATTTGTCCAAAATATGTGTATCTATGTAGATTTCATATTGAGAATATAAAGATTGTTTAGGCATTGATCATTGCCAACTTCTTGCCTGTTTTCATATTTAAATCCTATATTCATCAAAAGTATGCTAAAACCTTAAGGTTCATATATTATGGCATGTTATGATTATAAAAAAACGCGATGTAGTTCTCTCTTGATTAATTAATCAATGACGGAAATGGAGATGATTAAGCATAAGTCATGGATGTTCGAGAACAATATCTATACAGTTGTAAGAAGGTACATATTGTCAGAGAACATACGAGGAAGTCAATGTTACAGCGTTCTAGGCACGTAGGTGATGTTGAGAAAATCAATGAGGAAGGATGTCAATTTGGGAAACAAAATTAAGATTCGAACTTGGGGCTTCTTTGCACCTAAAACAAGAATCAATGAATCATACCTCGAGACCAAATGCCTTTATTATTTCATTAATAAAAGAGCAGTAGACCCCACACACTTCTTTGATTTTTTTATTTTTTATTTTTTGATTTTGATCAACTTTAATTTGAGTTTTTGACCCTTTCTTTTTGGACCACTTCCCCCAGTCCCCACCCATAATACCACCACTCCTCCACCGTAGACAGTTCACTCTTCTCCAACAAAACAACCAGGTCACCACCTTTGACGACTGTTTATTTCCCTTTGACCCTTTCTTTACTAGACTTCTTGGTAATTCTTCGCATTGGGAAACAATTTGGGTACTCCCAAGTCCCGACGATTAACTCCCACAATATTTTGTACCAGTATACTTTTACAAGAAGGAGTGTCAATATCAATTTTTCTAGTTTATTACTATTTTACACACGAATAGATCCAAACACTAGAAAAATGAACACTAAAAGTCTTTTGTACAATTGTACTAAATCATTTTTTTAAGCATACACTTGATTTTACCTTTATAAATGCAGAATAATATAAGTACCAAGTATATGGATTACGAATTAGCTATTTTCCGATTAATTACTTATATTTCCTCCTTTTGTTAGTTGACCCATTTTTTTCAATCATGTTTTTCAATGTAAAAACTTTAACAAAATCCTACATAATTATATTATCTTTTAGATATTAACAAGAATAGGAAAAATAATTAGGAATAGATTGAGTGTGTATTACTCTATTAGTCCAATACTCCAATCATAATATAGGTTTGTTTCACATACAGTACATCTCAATAACATAATGTAATAAAGTTGACATCATAAATCAACGTACGATCAGAATCCGACCCGTTGCTGACTTGCATCACCTAATCGCGCTACACCTTTTCCTTTAGCTTTGGACCAACAGTGTAACACTCTTCCCAACAACTCACTATAGTCCACCTACTAGATCTACCACTTAGAAAAAAATGTCGACACACCACCACAAACCCTTAGGCACCGCCATACACATCACCGCACTCGACGGCATCATCCACGTTAACTCCATCTTCACCCTCGCCGTCTTCATCGGCCTTTCATGGAACCCAAACGACCCATCAAACACTCTCATCACTGACCCATCTTGCACTTCTTACAACACTTCTATCGCTGAAAACATCGTCGCTTTTCACGTCTACTCCTTCGCTTCTTTCCTCTTCTCTAGTCTCGTCGCTTTGGGCCTCAAACAGGCCTTCCGAATCTCGGCCCATTACGACTCTTACCGGGCCTTTGTTCATACTTCGGGCCTTCGGGTCGGGATGCTTGTTTCTGCTGTTGGATCTGTTTCTGGGTGTGCTTTTCTGATGTTGGCTTTGATTAATGTTGCTCAGATTAAGCTTGGTAGTTTGTCTTGTGGGAGTTCTCATACTTTTGCTGCTGTTGTTCCTCTTGTTATTTTGGTTCCTTCTGCTCTTCTTATTTATATTGCCTTTGTTCTTTATGCTTTTACTCGTTAGCCTTATTTTGTTACTTTGTACTTTGATTCTTGAACAACTTTGTAAAAAAACGTATGGGAAGTTGTTGATTTGATGATAATGACAAATGGGGTTTTTTTATTTTGATGATTTGAATTGGTAATTGAATAATTGTAAAATGTTTGCTGTTTTTGATTGATTGTTGCCTTATTGGGATGATGATTTATAAAAACGAAACCCGAAAAACCCGAACCGAAAATCAGGGTTACAATTGCTAATTACAGTAGTTCTTTATCATAGCTTGTTGTACATACTTTTTCAATCTTGTAAGGGTCATTTTTAGTGGGGTGGAGGGAGTATTATTGTTTGAACTCCGTGCAGCAATCTATCAAAACCATCAGTGCTGAATTTCACAGCTCAAATGTTTTCTGTATTCAATGGAAGTTGAAACATATAAACTTCAAGTTAAGACACTAACCTAAACTTAGAAACTTAATTGACTGACTTATAAGTACTCTTATAAGACAGAAAACAGAATTACAGGCACGATTCGATTGGAATGGACATTATTTCGCTTAATTGTGTATCTCTCAGCAAGTAATACAAAGTATGATTCTTTGGATTCTTTCAGTTATGTAAATTTCCCACATATAACTCTTCCAGTTTGATTTATCTCTTAGCTAGATTGTCTTAGATTTATACATACTAGGATGCTATTGGTTATGATCGTGTTTCGTTATGTTGGGGGGTGGCCGGGTGGGAGGGTTAGGTGTGTGGAATTACATAAGTGAAAGATGTAGAAAGTGGTGTATGCAGTAGTGAAACCTTGTATGATAGCATTAGCATTTGCTGTACTAAAATTACCCTGTTAGTATGAGCCAAATCACCTTATGAAATAATTTTTTCGAGCCGAAAGTGCTGTACTATGTTTTCTATCCTAGATTAGTTATTTAGTGCTCTTATAATGCTTCCTCCACTACATAATGGAGGACATTATCATATTTTATTTCTTACTAATCTTGACCTCCTCCTCCCTCTATATAAATTCCCAAGTGACTGATCATTGGACATGCATAACTTAATCACAGTGAAAATTGAAGCAACTAAATCTTCGAAAATGAAGCATATTATTCTGTCTGTTTTCCTTGTTCTTGTCTGCATTGCAGAGTTTCATGGGGTGAATGCTGCCGGTGAGTGTGGGAGATCATCCCCGGAGAAAGAGGCATTTAAACTTGCTCCCTGTGCCGAGGCATCTGAGGATGAGAATGCCCCAGTTTCAGACAGCTGCTGCGCTAGGATTAAACAGTTGGGTCGAAACCCAAGCTGCCTCTGTGCTGTTATGCTCTCCCACACTGCCAAAAGTGCAGGAGTCAAAGCTGAGGTTGCTGTCACAATCCCTAAGCGATGCAACATTGTTGATCGTCCTGTTGGTTACAAGTGTGGCGGTGAGTTTGAACGTTACTAGAACTTATCTGATTGTTTACTTATTTTTATTTTTTATATTATTACAATTGTCACCATCTTCAGTGGCTGTTCATATACTGATGTCTGACTGACATGTTTCTCTCTTGCATTGCAGCTTACACATTGCCTTGAAGAGTTCAAATTGACGAACTCATCTTATTGATGAACTCATCTTATTATATCGATCTTTCTGTGAATAAGAATTGGACATAGACCTGGAAGTTTGCATCTGTATTTAGCTTTTCTAATGACAGATGTAATACAACTTGATCTTGATCAATATGAATAAATGATTTGTTTTCAGTTCAGTACTTTTGTGCCTTTCAGCTTTCGCAAAGTAAAATGGAACAAGTTTTCCCATCTTTAATGTCATCAAACCCATTAAGGTATATTGGTTCAAGTATAGTTTGGCTAGAGTAATTTTCTCATTATGCAACGACATTAAAGAGCTTTTTAATTAGAATGAACATTCAAATAAGAATATATATGGATTTAGGGTATAGCGAAACAAAACACAAGCAACTTACTATTCCAGAACGCGAGTTTTGATCAGCTTCTGAAACCAAATAACTTGAGGATCCTACAAGATTTTCTTGGTTTTCTGTGGTAAAAAGCAAGAACTTCATCTAGACTCACATATTACCGAGAAGTCATTAGAGATCATTTACCGTTTGGATACCAGCAACATGTTTCTTTTGCCCTTTCCAGGCAATCAAATATTAGAGAAAGCCACCAGAAATTTAAGCAAACTCGACATTAAAGCAAAAACCTTTACTAAGTGAAATTGACATTAGGGTATATTGAGGTAGTTAACAACTCAATCTGTTTACAGAGGAGGAGTTCATAGTCATATACTATAAGCATTAAAACTGAACTATACTATACGTCGTCAGACAAAGCTGATCCTAGGAAATTTAAAGCTAATAAGCTAAGCTAAGCCCTCCTCCAAAGAAGCCGGGAGCAAAAACAAACCCCAGCAACTTGATTCAGGCCTTAGCTGATCTAAGACTAGTAAAATTAAAAGCTGTTTTTCTCAACTTATATGGTATATTCTCTTATGCTAAAGTCATAACTTGTGAAGATAGCTATCAAGAGGCAGTCCCCCCCATATCTCTGCAACAAAACAATATAAAGCGAACATTTTTAGCATTAGCGAAAGTCAAATTGCTAGGGACAAATTGAAATTAACCCAAGGAATAAATAATGCAACAGAATACAGAATAAGTTGAAAAAATTGATAATAATGTGTAGATTCTTCTCATATTCACTTAGAACATATATGCATAATGTATGCCATGCAGATTCTAGACAAGTTGTTGTATGCTTTGCTTCTTTGCTTATGCATCAGATTACGTAACGAACCCAACTGTATGAAAAATATGAGTTTCTCTTTTCCTTTTCTGCATAAATGCGTTTCTAGAAAGAATTGTAAGTCTACTACCATAAACATCTAATTTTGAAATAATGTGAATCTTATGACCATATCTTTAATCATTTACAAAAGTCTTAATGTACCTTAGTTTCCAAGAGGGGCAGCCAACTCTTGTTACAGGGATGACTAATAATAGGCCGATCCTGAAAATTAAAACAAGGTTAATCAATACAAATAATCAATAAACAAAACCACCAAACTGAAAATTTATACTCACTCCGTTCCCATACTAAGGTAACATAAACCAATTTTGTCCATCTCAAATTATGGTCATAGCCCTTTCAGCAGTTATTCACTCTTGTGTTAACTAGCATAGAGACGGAGGGAGTATGTTACTACTATGTATAAGGAATTTAATCATAAGTAAATAAATCCAAACCTTGCCACCAATTTCCTCTTAAAGCACTTTTAGGATCTTCTTCTACTCCTGGATCATTTGTCTGTAAAATCGAGTATAAGACTTCAGATACAATATACTATATCATCCAAAATGTAGTGTAAAAAAAAGCGAAAATTAAGGTTAGAAAAAAATGTGTATGTACAACACTCACAAGAGATTCATCAGGACGCGTAGTTGGAGAATAAACTTCGTCTTGGCCACCATAGTAGATTGAAGAGGTATAGTAGCAAGGCTGATCAACTTTCTTCTGCTGATAATAAGAGTACTTGCTACTCTCTGCTTTGCTTACCGGTGCTCCATTATCTACAAGAAAAAGATGTACATATAACATAAAACACTAATAAACCACTTGAATATGATAGTAAACACACTAATATGTCAATCAAGCGAAGAAATAACTTTGATAAGTTTATAATTAGAGAAATATATTATCATCAAATTAAAAATTTGACTCTAGAGATTGCAAGTTGTCAATGATAAAGATTATTTTAATTAGGACGAATGAAGTATAAAAATTACCAGGAAAACTATGCTTGGCATTCCCAACATGGTGTGTAGAGTCTCTTCCTCCTCCCTAGATTAAAATCGATTTTAGATGTAAGAAATGTTGTACACGTAAAATATTATAAAAATTACAAAAGGCAACAGAGAACACTAAGATGATGATTACTATCCAATATCAAATTAGATCACATAACTTAATTAAGCTAGAGAATTAAGAGAGTTAAGCAGATTAGCGTGTATAAAGCATATACACATATGGGTCATAGGCAGCATATACGGGTCAGTCAATAAGTAGATAATAATCCTGTACATAAAGTTAATTATCGTAGTTTAAATTTTTTAATTTGTTAAATGGAAAAGGAGGCATTAGGAATATGCATATGAATATATTATTCTTGTTAAGTAAAATAATGAATTGATAGTCTATTTAGATAAACTTTGTACTAATTTATGTATCTTTCTATTAGTGCATTTCTTGAATCTCGTTAGTTAAACATGTTATGCAGTGACTAATGATTCAACAATCTCTTTAGACATCAGCTCAACTCAGGTCTATTATCAACCATTAAAAAGATTATCATTATGGAGTCATTATCATTTCATGTGGGTCTAGAGAACAAGCATCTAAAGTAGGAACCCACCTTTGTACTTGTGCCTGATGTCACTAACAGCCAGAGATCAAAACTTTGACAAACTCGTGTATAAGACGATCTCACAACATATAACGTACACATAAGCACTCATCAAAATGAAAAAAAAATTTCCTTTATATTTTTGAGTAAAAGACGACAAAATAAATTAGTACGAGATAATCTCACCTAATAGCTGGCTCCGAAGTAAGCCAATCTCACCTAAATGATTCTTTACCAACTCAGAATAGAAAGGAAAAAAAAGGTTGGAACCTTTAAAAAAAGAAAACTCCATATCATATGAAAGCTAAGAGTTTGAAGATAAACTTTCAAAAAAGGTCGGCAACTTTTTCATGTAACCCAATAAAAGTAAAAAATAATTTTGGACTCTTTAAACACTGGCTTAATAGCCTACGTCTCTTCCTACTTCTCACCTTAGCCAAAGGTCCCAAAATCTCAAAAACAAAACCAAAAAAAGCATCACCATCATTGAAAATTTTGTGTATTTTGCATTAAAAGACAAAATTAACTAGAATAAGTAGCAACAAATTGTAATTTGTGAGATCACAAAGACATGCAAAAAAGTCAAAAACAAAAATAAAAAAAAAAATCAAAAAATTGATAAAAGCAAGGGCAAATAGAAGAAACCAATATTTAGGTAAAACCTTTTGCATTGAAAAACTCATCAAATTCTCAATTCTAAAGAACCCCAAATGAATCAATCCCAATTTGATGCTCTAATTCATTGCATGCATGCCTTTTATTTTAGATACTTAATCAATAATCGACTTGGTGCAATTCTTTGATAACCCTAACACAAAAAAACCCGATACGGGTAAGGGAGATGACAAGAAATTATATACAACGGTTGCACGAGATATTTGTGGTTAACCCGCTAAACCCTACAAAAACACTAACTTTAACAATGTTAAACATAGACATATTATTATTGCAAATAATTGTACACCCAAAAAAATAATCATCAAAACTTGAGATTACATATTAATAAAACATGAATTAAGAAAAGAGTAAGAAGAAAGTTAAGTACCATAGAAGGAGGGCCAAAAACAGAGTTAAACAAGCTGGAAGAAGAAGTAGCAGAAGAAGGATTAGGGCCAAAAAGGTCAGCAATGGTGGATGAAGCAGAGGAAGAAGACAAAGATGACCCGCCGACTTGCTTGGATTTTGATTTTGATGATGAATTCTTTGCCATTTCTTTTTTTTTTTTTTTTTTTTTTTTTTTTTTTTATAACTGAAATAGTATTATTGATTGAAGTGTGATATATTTATTTATATATAAAAGAGTAAGGATGTATTTATGAAAGGAATGAAGAAATCTCAACTATAAAAACTACTTAGGACCGACAAGAATAGAGGTGTAAGCAGAGGAAACAGGGGGAAGGACGAGGAGAAGAGAGAGAAAATAATGAGATGAAAATTGGAAAAGCACGTGAAAGTTTGCAGATGATCGATGTGGGTAACAATACTGTAACGGCCTCCCCTTGTATTTATAAGCAGCCCCCAACTGATTTTCAGTTTCTTTCCATTTTTGCCCATCTCGTATCTAATCTAATCTTCCATGTGCCTCTCTTTTATTATTTACTAAAAGCCCGTGCGATGCACAGTTTTTTCATTTAAAATTTTTAATTATTTGATTTATTCTATTTAATTATTTCAGACAAAATTACAAAAGTTTAATATTTATTTTTTTACTATAATTTATAATGAGTTTATTAAATATAAATAAATTGTAAATATGATATTTTTTTTGTTATAAAATCTTTAATGTGAAATGATAAATTTTTAACAATTTAAATCCTAAATCATTATTCATTGTTTTACGATATTTTTTATTTCGATAGAATCACCAACCTCGTCCACAACCAACCTACTACATCAATGGATAAATCGAACCGTGAAATGTTAGCCAAACTGAAATTGATATAAATTAAATCTTTACATTTATATAAAATAATTCAATATATTTACCAATAAATGAAAAATTGTTGCGATATAAAATCAAATCTATGCATTGGAATTTTTTAATCATCTCCAAAAATAATCAAAGTCATCCATATATTAAGTATACAACATCTAATCGTATGTCATTACAAAAACAAATAATCGTTAAGTATCGTAAATAAATACAATGTAACTAATAATTACAAATATAAATTTAAACATAACATTTTAAAAATTGCCCGAACATTGATGACCTAAAACTAACACAAAATTACTAACACAAAATTCGCTTGATGGAGTTTTATATTGATACGAAATTTTATTTGTGTCGTATGATGTATTAGATCTGCATGTAAAAAAATATTTAGTAAATAAAACATA